GATAAATCTACTGTACATTACCTGCCTAGTTTAAGTTTAACAGCAGTGATGATCAATGATGATCCATGAGTCCATCAGGGCTAGAGCCATTCTCCCCTTTTTTATGTTATTAAGCGTTAGTTAAACAATAAATATTCACATATTACTGTTAATGGCTGTGCTATCACTGTTAGCCTCCACATAATTTTTTTTTTCTTGTTTAATTGGCCCCACCAATGCATGCTGTTGGCATTGGTTGTTTCTGTTCAACAGTAGTGTCAGCCACACCAAAAGCCGGAGGCAGAAAAGAGCTCTCGTACCAAAATATTCAGCTCTCAACAGCAACAAATTCCATAGCAGGAATGCTATAGACTACGAAGCTTGAAGCAAACAGCGGTATACGCCCAAAATTTTTTTTGCCAGTCTCACACTGATATCAAATGTGAAATATATTCAAGCCTGTGTATGTGTGGTTTAAAATGTTTTTCAAAGACAACCCAAAAGAAACAAACATTACAATCAGCAATTAGAATAGATTAATGACTATGACTTGTCCAACTGTGTAGCAGGCCTACATTATTTTCCTTTGAAAAGCACAGCATTAGCAACAGTTGAAATGAATTGTAACTTGATTTTAAGCAGAAAAGAGTGTTGTAATTTCCAAGCCAATTCTGGGTGTATTTGAAAGATTTTTGTCAGTAAATACAATCAACATTATAACGAGCCAACCACAACAAAGCCAACAAACCCTGTAACTCCTCTCCTCAAAATGGCTGCTTTTCAAAGTGAAGACTAGCCAGCTCTGTCCCTCCGGGAATAATAGCCAATGTCTGATTAAGATGAATCTGTTTTTTTCAATTAATAGTCTTTCGATAACAACCCCTCCCTGTACTTCAAAGAGCAGAGCACACTAATGCCCCAGATGACTTGCCTTTCTGATGGAGAGCTTAAGACATCCCAGGAAGCATAACTTTTGAATAAGGAAATCCTTCTCTGTGCCAAGACATGTGGCTCTGACCACACTCTCCTCCTTACTTACTATCCCTCTTTGTTCTTCACACTGTCTCTTTTGTCTTTCTGTGTCATTTTCTGTAATCATCCCTAATTTCTTCTCACTATCCTACCCTTTTTGTGCCTCTCTTTCTGTTTTTTTTATTTAATGTTCTGCCATCCACCCTCTACTCCTTTCCCTTTGTCCCTCCGAGGCCGCCAAACCCTCTAATCCCTGTATGTTTTCACCACATAGTGACAAACCAGAGGATGCAATTTTGCAAGAATCTGTGTGTGTGCATGCTTTTTTGTGCATGGACATTTTTTGTCTCTCATGTGTTTGTGGGTATATCTACAGTATGTGTGCATGTTTATGTTTGTTTCTGTACGTGAACAGACCTCTCCTACTTTTGTGGGCCAAAGGGTGGGAGGAAGAGTAAAGGACTAAATTTCCAGGCCCAGAGGTGCTACTCCCTTGTTGATAAGAAAACATCCCAGTTGCTTCTCCATTTAGCCTAAATATTTACATGATTTTCCAGAGATTTTGGATATCTTGTGCCATTGCTGACAGGTGTACTGTTGCATAACTCTATCAGATGCAAATAATTACATTGTGATATTTCACAATGTTTTTCATTCCACTGTGAGAATATTTGAGGGCACTATATGCCTATTTTGCATATATATACTTTACAAATATCTTATATAACATTGAAACAAAATGGCAAAGAATATAAAGAGTGTACAATGGATCAAATAGAAAGTGGTTTCAGGCCCTGTGATCAGAAATACCATTCATAAAAGTCAAACAGTAGTTTTATTATAATATAAATATTTTTCTTTATAACTTAAAAAAAAATAAACAGAATAAAAATAAAAAACATTACACTGTATTTGTCACCTACTGCTATTCTTCCATTGATCTCCCAAAGTCGAATCTTAATCATGTTATGAACTGCACAGTTTCAAGGGGCAAGACATAGAGGAATGCAGTACTCTGTTAAGTGTTGTTTGACATTATGACAAGTAACTGATAAGACTCTATAAACAAGTGTGTGTGTGTGTGTGTGTGTGTTCGTTCTCTAGATACAACAGCAGAGATCTGTTCTAGCCCTCTCTGCTCGTTATTGGTGCACTGATCTTCTGGCTGTAGTAGGTGCATAGTGGCAGATGAGAGATTTTGCACATTCAGTACTTTGGCGCTAGTAACAACCTGCAAAATTAAACATCACAATCTTTTTCCGTGGTCAGAGATGATTGGGAAATGATGGGACTGTTGGTGCTCTGTGTGTTTGCAGTCGTGTTCAACTACATCTCCGCATCTACAGAAGTCTGCACCAATACCCTCCTACCTGGAGCTAAAGGTAATGCATGGCCTAAAATGTTCTATGTGTCTGTGACTGTATGCTTGCGTTTAAATCTGACTGCATGACACTTAAATATTAATAGAACTGTAAAGATTTATCCTATAAAGCAAAACTCTGACATGAATAAATTTAAAGCTGACAAATGATCAAAGATCATCATTTAATTTATAACCTCATAACCTCAAGAATCCTCACAATGTAAATGTTAATACCTGTATATGCATCAAATAAAAAACTCTTAGTGGAAAATTCTAAGGAAACACCCCTGATATGCTTCAGGGTTTACAGAGCTGATGATAAAGGTACTAAGCATGTAATGTCCTGTAGTTTATTAGCTTGCAGTCTGCTACCCCATTGTCTTTTGGAGGGAATGCCTCCCTGTGTGTGTTTTCCATTTTATGACATCCAGTAGCTTGTTCCCCTGCTGATTCAGACAGACAGACCTAATAAAATACACAGTTGAGCTAAGCACCATTTTAGCTCTATTCTCGCTACTCTAAAACATGGCTTTTAGCTCTAGCTTGAAAGAAAGTTAGATGTTACTTAAGGAGTCGACGTGCATAAGAAAAGATTAGAGGTCTGTCAAGTGAAAAAGCAAAAGAATTAATCGGTGTAAAAACTGAATTTTACAGTTCTTGAGCATAAATGTATGTTAGCTTCACTCTAAGTAGTTGCTGAACTATTAAATAAAGTGGTAGTGTAAGTAAAGTGAAGAGGCAAATGTAACACAATAGAGTCACTAGGGTGAGTGGACATTTTGTCAGCTTTCCACTGAATTTTTTGTAAGAAAGTCCCATTGTGACAGCGTATATTTAGACAGCTGCCACTAAACTGAACTGATTATTTTTACAAGACTCATCCCATATACTGACTGCAGAGTCAGTCTCTGAGTGTGTGTATTCTCACGTCTGCATATCTGAGTGGGTGTCAGACGTGCATTTCTCTATGTTTCATAACACTGAAAAAATGTGCACACTGTTTTTATTTATTTTAACGTTTCCACAAACATACTTCAATTGCATTTACTGGTACTTTGACTTCAACATTTTTAAATAGATTTACCAGCATTTAATTTTTTATAGAGGCATAGGGCGTGTGAAACACTTTTGTTTAAGAAAAAGTAAGATGAAAAATCTTGAATCCACTTTTACTCACTTATGTCACATAAAGTGATCCTATTGCTCAAAAGCATGTTAAATCGCTGCCAGGCTATGGGATTATTTGGCATGGGAAATTTCTCTGTGATTTGACACCAAAATCACTCAAGTTAGGCATGTTAGTAATTTTACCGTACATAGTTTGAGTTCAGTAGTCCAGAAAAGGAAATAATGTTATGCAGGCAGAAAGAAACACTTGAAATTGCAGTGATTTAAGTTACTTGAAAATGTCTACACAGTCTGCAGAACTGAATTATCAATTTTCCTAAGTACTCCTTCAGGCTAAAAGAGAGGGTTTGTTACAATCCGTCGTTTCAAAGCCCAGCACCTAAGAAGATATAAAGTGGTCTTGGCATCAACAAATGGGGCCAAATTACAGCTCTAATAGACACTTTGAAAACCTCTCAAGATTTCTTTCCAAGAGCTTTTTGAGCAGTCGACCCACCAGAAATATTTCTCCTACACTTCATTTGTGCTTTTAACTTTGAAAATTTTGTCATTTATACTTAAAACGTGCTTTTGAAAATTATATTGGCTTGATGAAAATAATTAAAATGGAATATGCAGAGTCCACAGTAAATGTCAACTGTTGATTGAAACTTAACCTTACAGTAGGACTTTCCCCCAAAACCACAACTGGACCTGCACTGAATCTCATACACAAACACTGCATAACCCACGTCCAGCGCTACAGTAGCATAGTTCTTGGCCAACAGTTAAGTTTTGATAATGTATCATCATCCTGTAATGGCTATTTTACTGCCATGCCTCTTACAGGCCCCTTTTCTACAGAAATGTGATTAAAACATAATGGGAAACCGCTCTCCTTATTCAAACCAAATTCACTTTCACACTCCACTTTTCTGTCTTTCCTTTTTAATCCAGGAGACCAAGGTGGGATTGGTGAGGAAGGAGATCTGGGAAAACTGGGGAAGAATGGACCACCAGGACTTCCAGGTATCTAGCATCTATCCTTGATTGGCTATTTATGTATTTATCCTGTAAAGTAGGAATTGGGACAAAAACAAAACATATGGTTTGCACATTGACGTCCCCGTTGGTTTATGGAGTACCGTTTTAGACGGAGCCAGTGTGAGCCAGCGGCGGTGACGTACTGCGAGTTAATCTGTTTATTTTAGCTAATCTAAGTTGATCTGAGTTTTGTGTGCTGCACTGGACAGACTCATTGAGAATGACCTGTCACTCACAAGGTAGACACGCCCATAAAGACCATAAACCCGTTAGGAAACTGTTTACTGAGCTCATAAATCAAGTAAGAAGTTGGCTCATTCTCCATTACAGTGAACGGTATTGATGGGTTATTGCAGCCGATGGAGCTCCCCCTGCTGGCCTTTACGTTGGCTTCACTTTTCAGACCCGTTAATGGGTCAGCATTATAGTCTAAATAAAAAAGTTTGGTTTGTTATCAGATTGCAGTTGAGGATGATGCAGTGGACAAATATTGGCATAATCATAGGTCTGTTTTAATGGAACCCACACTATAGTTGGATGACTTAGTGAGTCACAGTAGAATCAGACAATGAAAAATCCTGAAGATCGTTTGTATTCAAAATTATTAATTTAAGGGACTTAGGGCTTATCAATAGGAGGTTAGATAAATTTTATGTATCAAATAGGCTTTTTACATAATTTTGACATTATGGTAGCAAATGCACAGGTGTCACTCATCAGAATAACAATGGCTCTGTTATGTAGCAGTTAATTAATTACACCTGTGCTTTTCCCAGTGTGACAAGTTAAAATGTCCTCTGTGAAAAAGGCAAAAATCTGATCGACAATTAAGTCTACTTTAGCACACAGCACAAAAAAGGCCTGCAATATCAACGTCCAAGTTTAAAATGCATTTCATTTTGAACACATGTAGTGGTAACCCTTGAGATACTGAAGAAATTCTGCAATTCTGTCTTTACTAGCATGCTTGCAACACGTGTAGCAAGGGCTGAAGACTAATGAAAGCAGGGGGAAAAAACAGCAAAAGTAATCAGTGGTAAGGTCTCATTTCTCTTTTATGTCTGTACAGAAGCATGACACCCGTCTGTAACTCAAAAATATAATTTATATTGCTCTTGTTACCCGAAGAAACAGTCTTACTTTGTGTACTTTGGGCTTCCAGACAGCCTGCGTGACTTAGCCCTGGCAGCAGCTTTTGCTTTTTCCTGCTCTAGACAGCTTGCTTTCAGACAGACAGACAGACAGACAGACAGACAGACAGACAGACAGACACACAGAAATACAGACAAACACACAGACAGACAAAAAGACAGACAGCCCCTGCACTCCTTTTCTGAGGAAGATAGATAAGCAGATAAGATAATAGATGTTAATTGCGGCCGAGGAAAGCAGCGGCATCCCGCTTCGACTTATGTGTTCCAACTGGGCTGGTAGACTAGCTGGCCAACCAACTGGCCATATCATACACACAGATGTCTGCACACACACATACACACACACACACACACACACACACACACTGAGGCATATAATATACTATATGCACACAATGCACACAGTACATCATTGTATATACATACACACACTGTGTAAAAGCCCTGGTTCCTGGCTGCCGTCTTTCTCTCTGCAGATGTTTGTTTTATTCAATAACTTCACACAGAAGTCCTCATACACACACACACACACACAAACACGCACATATTTTCCAACAATAAACACACATTCTCTCATCAGACTGTGAGAGACAAATGTCAGGGATGCATATATATATATATATATATATATGAACCTTTTTTCAACTTTTCAACTTTGCAGATATTTTTCAGCAGTATAGCAAACCCAATCATTATGGTTTTTCTGTGTGTATGCACACTGTAGGAATGAACGCAAGGTCCTATGATGACCTCGTAAGTAAGTCAACAGCTCAACAGATGACGCATGTGTTCCCTGTCTTAATTTAAGCCACTTTACAGGAAACAGTTGCTTAATTTTGGAATCTTAAAAAGGGAATACATGACTGTGAATGCTCCAGTGGGCAACAAAAAACAATTTGCTGCTCCAAACTTATTGACGTCAACAAACAGTTGTGCTGGATTTCTACATTTGTTAATTGTGCTTTACTTAAAACTGCTGGTAAAGTTGAGGTGAGAATTTCAGTGTTACAAACAGTACAGTTAGGTGTTATGTAATGTTCTTAATTCTTGTGAAGGACCTGTTGGAATGAACCATATGTACAACAAATGGAAAATCTGACTGAATGCCTTCATTTGACGTGGCCCAGCTCTCTTTTCTCTGTCTACGAGGCTCAAAAGCAGAAAAAAGCAGAAATACCAGTATTCATATGTGCTTGGTGTTTGAGCCAACAATGCTTAGCATTTTAATCTCCTTTATTTTTGTTGTATTAAGACCGGAAAACATTCCATCAGTTGAAGCCATTATAGGCGTTTTTGAAATAGCTTAAGACTGATGTGTCTTAGTCTCCATGATTAGAATGAAAAATGTGGCCTCCACCTTCTTTCTCCTCCAGCAGCTGGAGAATCCAGACGTTAAACCAGTTGGAGGGGTTGGCCATTATAAAGAGCGACTGCAGTGATAGGAAGGAGTGTTATCTGGACGTTTAGATAGACGGTTTAACTGGCAAGCATAAGCACTGCGAAAACAACATTAATCAACTTTTATAGACACTGAAGGAATAACAAGGGACCAACAGATTAAATTTCTTCATATAGTAAAAAATAAACACCTATAATCACTGTTTACAATCAGTTCTCAGGTCAGTATTTGTGATGATGCTTCTCAGGCATTCATGCTGAAAAATGCATGCAAAGATTTCATGCAGATTATAGTGAAATATTGTGAAATTTCCCATAGGCCAGAGCCTACCAGACCTCACACAATCCATAAGACCTCACACCTTTCGCCAACACTTCTCACAAATCATCAAGTAGAAAATCAACATGAGAAAGTGGGAAATGGGAAATAGTAGTGAATAGCTGTGTGTGTGTGTGTGTGGCAAATCCCTCTAATAGCAATAGGCCTCTCCAATGCGTCACTTAGTATTTCAAATGCCATCAATTTCCAGTTGAATAGTTTCCTGAGGAAATACTCATTCAAGTGCTGGCAGAAAGCCTCAGTCTGCTCTGTAGTTTTCCCATACTTTCTCTCTCTCTCTCTCTCCCACCCCTCTCTCTCTCTCTCTCTCCTCTCTCCCACTCACAACCACACACCACAACACAGCACAGCACACACACACACACCACCAATGTCTCTCTAACTCTGGTGTATTCTGTCATCCTACACTTTCACTGTAACATCCAAAAGCCATCTCAGTATCTCTTCTAACACCTTCTGAAATCCTAAAAAGGACTATAAATGCTTACAAATGCGCACACTTCCCCTACACTCCACAAAGGGCCACTCAACCCAAAGTACTTTACTTAGTGCCTGAAATAAATCATAATTTTTCTCTTGTAATTTATTTACTGGCATTCTAATAATAAGAACATCAAGAAGTTAGGAACCAAACTATGCAGTGATTGTTGGAAAAAAGCCTCAGGGCTCGTAGAGATTATCTGCAGAAGATGAAATGGGAGCATGGAATTATATTGATTAGGCTGGAAAACAACAAAATAATCAGAAATCAAAAGAAAACGCTATGAAAGCCAAGAAAAATAACTGCAGGAATATGACAAATCTGAATCATAGACTGTATGTCTACAATAAGGGATCTTTATGATGATGAAGTGATTTTACAATGATATCTATTCACTTTCTGGAAAATGTTATGCATTGTGTATAGTACCCTTTCTGTATATTATCATGTTGGATAAGAAAGCCATACTTTCAAATTGAGATGATTAGATTTTTGTACTGTGTCTCAAATAAATCCAGTCTTCTCCATATATTCCTTCTCCTCTCACCCTCTGTCTTTCTCTTCTTTCCCAGGAGTGCCAGGGGAGACAGGTCTAAAAGGCGAGGTGGGCCACACAGGAAAGATGGGGCCTATTGGAGACAAAGGTATAACAAAGGAATGTCATTTTAATCAAATTTTAATCTCAAGTTTATGTTTATATATGTTATGTAGCGTTAATGTAAACACTGTTTCTGTCTCTCTAGTCTTCCCACTTTTGCTTTAATGTCATCCAGTTAACCTTTTTACAGTGTAAACAAAGGCCTTATACATTTTCATTAGCATACATTCCAATACACTGAATACAGTACACTTATCAGTAATCACACAAGAGAGCGCATCAGAAGTAACGCTTCCAATCGTCAGTGTCCTTAAGAAAAAAAACAGATCTCCAAAATAAGAGAGACACTGATTCAAGTCTAAACGTGTCCTTGGTCCTGCGCCATTTTTTCAGTTGTCAACAACAGGCGACAAAAATGTAAAAAAAAAAAAAAAAAAGTTTCCTGAACTCCTCCTCAGCTTGGACAGCTGATCGAAACCACAGACTCAAAACATAAAAATAACTACAATGGACATCTCTACAAAACCCAGCATTAGTCCCAAGACTAATACAAACAAGGGGGAGTGCTTTAAGCCAGTTGCAGTTCCTTAAAAGTATGTATTTTTCCCTATTTCTTTTATGTTTTAAGTTATTACATCCAAAGATAGAAGAAAACAGAATCCTACAGTATGATGTCATGCAGTTGCTTTGGGAGGTGAAACAATTTCTATCTTTATTTTTGTTTTTATGAGCTTTTCATGTTCCCCTTTTCTTTTCTAGGCATTCACTTTTCTCAGTATTCATTATGTTTAATACACTTACAGGAAAGTGGCTGTGCATCAGCCATCCAAGGCAAAGGAGTGAGGTCACAGGTTTGGATTTTCCTTGATCCTGAGCGCCTGCAGCTCATAAAACACCTGGGTGAAAAAAAACATTATCAGGCAAATGTCAGCTTTAATTCATGTCACAGAAAATAGTGTTAATTTTAATGTCTACGTTAGAAAAATTGGTGTCATTCAAGATAAATATGAGATTATGACACTGAATCTGCTATAATTATATGCATATGTCTGCTTATTATAGTATCTCCAAAGCCTACATTTAGCTTGGGCCAAAGAACAGCTATCTAAAGCCATAAACTATAAAACTATGTGTAATTAGCGAATTCATATGAAAAAACTAACCAACTGACTGCAGCAGGACTGTCAATTGTATTGTACTGTACACCCTCAGAGACAACACTGCACTGCATATCTGGTAGCATTTTATTTTAATAATTTATAGGAGATACTATACTGGCAACAGGATAATTAGTCTTCTCACATTTTTGTCAGGGTGCTCAAACTGTAACTGTTTATTCTATCTGAATAACAAAAGCCCACTCAGCCAGCCTCAGATTGTTCAGGTACAATATGTCACTGTTCCTCCTCATACAAAACCAGACTATTGTAATGTTTGTACTGCAGCCCACTTCCCCAAAATTTTCAACTGTCAGTTGATTCTTTTAATAAAGCTACATTATAACTAAACAGTATGTTCCGGATTACATTTAAATTACAATTAATCCACATCTCTATATTTCAAACAAAAAATGTTTGTGTTGTCATGTTGAGGTTTATTTGGAACAATTCAGTTTGGGTTACAATAGGTTAACATTTGACCTGAGTAAATCTATACCTGTGTGCAGCCATATTTAAAATGTTTTATGTGTGATACAGCCATCTGGTGGTATTCTTTTGTAAATGCATTACAATATCATCATAAAACAAGACAATGTCAATAAGTTGAGTTATTTGTCGATAGTGAATGTACTGGTTTATTTATTTATATTTTCATGGATTCAAAACCTGAAAAAAAAAGAATTGCAGGATGACAGGTGTCGTAATTGTAATGACTGTTTTTCTATTTCTCGGTAGGTGACAAAGGTGATATAGGTTTGGAAGGGCACTCTGGTTTAAAAGGGAAACCAGGTGAGTAGTCTAAAGCATGCAGACATTGCTTTTTTAAAAATCCTTTATGTAACAACAGTTGCCTTTCTCCTCCTCTCAGACAGACATAATGATGTTACAGCATTTCTTTGGCCGTATACTCCAGCACACTGGAGTTGAAATAAAATCATGACTATGAGGTCAAAGTGCTGACCTTTAGCTTTAAGTGTGTGTTTCACAGCCCACCATTAGTTCCCCAATTTTATGACAATGCAGCACCTGACCTCAGTTCACCTGATTATGTGTTTTACTTGCGGAAAACCAGCCTTGGGATAAGCAAGAAGAGGAGATGGCTGAAGTACATACCTGTATCAGGGACAATGCCATGTGTACATAGCATAAACACGTATAGAGAGCACTGCAATTCATTAACTTAATTTAAATAAACAATGGCAAGGGTAGACGACACTTGTGCCATGCAGCAGGACTTGAGCTAGGCTCTTAAAGGGCTATCGTATCAGTGGTGCTCTTCTGTAAGGTCCCCAGTCTTAGCCTTATGTACTGTGTTATGGTTTGGTCACTGTTATGGTACAGGAAGGTGATTCTTTGCTAATGCAGACACTTAAATCACATGACCCTTGTTTAATCCTGCAGGCACAACATGTGACTGTGGCAGGTACAGGAAGGTGGTTGGACAGCTGGATGTCAATGTAGGCAAGCTGAAGAATGCTGCCAAGTTTGTGAAAAATGGTAAGTACTGAATGGTATGAAATCCAGCACACACTACAGTATGTTAACACGCACTAAGCAAGGTGAATATTCTCAAAAGCCTAAAAAATCATAACATGCTGCTATTTTTACAAATGAACCCAGTCCTTGTTTTTTATTAATAGTGCCATGTCAATGGCCTGACAGCAATGTGGCTGAAAAATGGTTTGGCTGGCTATAGGAAAGGGTTGGCACTAGGCCACAACCTTCTGACTTGTTTAGTTTTTTAAATAAATACATATTTTTGTGCAGTTTGTTTTGTTTTAGTTGTTGCTTTTGCATGTACAACTTATTTGCAAAGAAAACAGTTTTTCCATTTTCGTGGACAATATGTAAATAATTCCTAATGACCTTTAACCCGTAACCCTGTCCTGTGCAGTTATCTTGGGGCTGAAGGAAACAGAGGAGATGTACTACCTGCTGGTGAAGGAGCCCAAGAGGTTTGGAGAGGCTTCAATGAACTGCAAGCTAAGAGGAGGCACCCTGGCCATGCCAAAAACCAGCAACACCAACAATCTCATGGCAGACTATGTCAGTCAGGCAGGACTGACAAGAGTTTATATTGGAGTCCAGGCTCAAAGCAAGGACACAGTAAGTGGTCCCCATTACAACATAATGCACACACAAACTGCAGCAGGGCGGGGTTTCAGTTTTTAGTCCATTTGTCCACTTTGCCACTGTTCTCTAAAGGAGGATAAGTATCTGTAGATATAGAAACATCGCCCAGCCCTACAGGGCCAAATTCTCTTGAAACCTGGTTAAATGTTGAGGAAATATTTTTCAAGAGTGTTCCCTGTTGTGGTGCAATTACTTGTCTCTGTGTTTTATTGTCATCAGGACAGAACAAGCAGTTATGTTTATGCAGACTCCAGCCCACTGCAGGGGTTTGCAGCTTGGAGCCAAGAGCCGGAGCTACAGTCCATAGTATCTCCCACCACAAACTCAACCTGCGTGGAGCTGCTCAGCACTGGAACATGGGGTCATGTGGAGTGTGAAGCCACCATGTTTTTCATCTGTGAGTTTCCAAAGAGCAGAAGAAGAGGAGGAGGAGGAAGAGGAACACCTGCCTCTGCATCATCATAAGTCAATGAGGCATCCAGACTTGCATGCAAAAGAGATAAAAGTATACATATATATAGTGTCGTAGAAAATTGGCAATTAATACGTATTAATAAAGAAATACCTGAAATGAAAATTATGTTTTGCCTGCATTATCAGATTATGTTGCTCTGATCAATGACATTACACCATCACAGACAGACAATGGACAGATTCTTGAGTAAATGTTACATGGTTTACTGCATCTTATCAAGTTACCTATTACAAAATCATTTTACAAGATAAACCAATAAATTTTTGTTATGATTAGAGTATTAATCATTAATTAATTAATCATCGCCCCTACTCTATTTCAGAGGTACAGTTTGAGAACTTCGGGACATTCCTAAAATTTTCTTTGTTTGTGTTTTTGTAGTAATCAGGATGAGTGTTACATATAGTAACTCACACTGAAGCAATATTATTTAATTCATTCAATCTGAACCTTGATCTGACCTGATCAAATATGCTTATCTACATGGCAGTCCTCTGACCATCTGTCCTCGAAGTAGAGGGTGAGGCAAGAAGTGATGAGTTAGGATGGATAACTCAACAGTGACAGCTAGTGGACAGGTGCAGAATGGCAGGTAATAATAAGAAGTACTTATGAACTCAACTTCTGATAAGAACGTTCATCAGGTGAACTGGATGCAGAGGAGGAAGGATGGACCAGCTGTTATGATGACACAAATCAATATATATTTTATGTTTTTAGGCAATTCTGAATAAAGTATGCACACTTACATTTCCTGCCTCACGTACAGATACAGAGATTAGTCCAAGGAGACTTAATTTTTAAATGAACAAATACATTTAATTGATTATTTAATATGTGCACAATGAAGAATTTAAAGGTTGGTGAAGCCATGATTAGTATAGGAAACCCCCTGATGGAGTCTAGACACTGGTGGCAGTGGTGATGAAGGAATAAAGAGAATGCTGACGATCTGGATGTGATAAGGAGTGGACATCTGATGAGCTCAACCTTGGCACTGGATATGATGAACTCAATGTGAATGGGGTGGAAGAGGGTCACAACAATTTTGAGCTGAAATGACAACTGAGGCATAATGAGAAGTTCTTTCTAATTGAACTTCGAGGTTTATTTAGGTCCAAAAAAGTGACTTACACTTACTTGACAGACTACTGAGAATAACATGGTTTTACAATTAGTAACTCATGACTCAAACTCTTAGGTATTTATTTATTTATTTATTTTTGTTCAAGATCTTTTTATTGGTAGCTGTGATTTGTACTTTCCATGAGACCTGCCTGAGAAGAACGGACACTAACCCCTGTCTGTTTTGGAGTGGACTGAGTTGGAGAGGAGTAAGCCTAACAAGTAATTAAAATTCACTTTATAATGAGGGTTACGAAACTTATACTTAAGTACTGCTTAACTAATTCATGACTCAATTCTGATTGAATGCATTAATTAATCCATCTGATTGGTCGCATATCAATTAATGTATAAAGTAATTGTGAATTAAAATTCCTTAACTGATGATCAATCTAAGTGTGAACTAATCACAAAAAGTCATAGTGACTAGATCACCTGTTGAGCAACAGGAATTCATGACATACATTCTGCATTAATTAATTAAATCATCATTAGTTAAGTATTTTAAAGTGTTCCCAAATTCTGCAAGAGCACCATATTAAGCCCTTTTAGTCGGTGTAATGTAGTGCTATAAAACATTTGAGTTATTAAAGCATCACAGTTTTCTTTATTTGATCTGTTCCTGGAACTGAACAGTACCACTGTGGAATTCCTCCATTGTTTTGTCAGCATATTTATCCTGAAAAATACATCCAGAAAAAATAAGTTGTGTTAAGTATTTAAAAGTGTTACCAAATTCTGCAAGAGCACAACATTTTTATTCCAACTACTCGGACAGCAGGTCAAACAACCTATGTGACTTCAATGGGTTGTTCATAATAACGGTGCTTGTGCGCATCTTTATTTCATAAACACACAGTCCCTGGAAGTGTGTGTGTTGACTTATTATTGCTAAATACTTTTGGTTTTGTTTTTTTGGAAAGAACTGAAATATTTATGGAGATGATAGAAATATCATAGAACAGTATTAACTTCAAAAAGTTTTATATAGTGTTATATATGGTGTTACTGAAGCTTTCCTGAACTCCACCTGCTGCTGTCAACAATATTCCATCAGTATTAATCAAATTGAACAAGAATAGATTGTTTAATAATTTAATTTAATTAGATTTTTTTGTGTGTGTGTTGAGTTAAGGACTCAGTATCCATCAGTATTAATCAAATTGAA